GACCGCTGCCAACCACCATCAAAATATTACATCCACGTAACAACCACCGCCAACACGACCACCGCCAACAAAATCACTGCACGACCACCGCAAAACAAACATCCAAAATCTGCACAATCATCGCCACCACCAAAATCTGCACAATCACCACCACCACCGTTTACAAAACACCAACCACCAAAACTCACCTCCACCACCGCATCCACCATCGCCAACAAGTCAACAACCCCAACCACCGCACGCACAGCAAGTCAACACCATTAATTATACTACTGCAACAAATTGATTCAATAGTAGATGTAGAAAATGCTATCTTACCTACTGATCGTTACTCAATATTGACCATTTTCATACAAATTTGGAAAGGCGACGCAGGTTCACTTCAGCTGAGTTCATCATAAGCGACTGAGAGCTTCTTCTGTAGGTAGAGGACACGGTTGTAGGTTCCATTTATCACGAGAACCCCACAAACGACAGTACCCAACCACCGCACACCTCAACACCACCGCACACACAGCACCCACCACCACCGCCGGATCCACCATCGCCATTAGACCCACCACCATCGCACGCCTCAGCACCCACCACGATCGCACGCACAACACCCAACCACAGCATGCCACTGCCACCGCCACTAAAACCACTCAAACATCCCCACTCACTGCAACCACCGCACGCCTCAACACCCAACCACAGCACCCACCACCACCGCACACACAACACCGTACCCACTGCACCCAACCATTGTAGGAGTCGCCGAGCTGCCGGAGGTGATGGATATTGTGTATTGGTACAGAGAGAGAGAATGGAGAGGCAGTGGGTTGGGAGAAAAAGAGGCGAGAGATTTATGTTGGGAGGAAATTGATAAGGTTAAGAATTAGGTTTTATATTACCTAATTTTTACAAAAATAAACCAAAAACCTGATTTTTAAAAAGGTCAAATTAAACCCCTGATTTTATATAATTTTCTCTATGTTAAAATATTCACCTTCCAATTTAGTACCATATATTTTAAGTATTTACAATACAACGCCTTCTCTCGCTCATCAAAAGCCCCCGGCTGTGTCTCCACGCCATCACTTTCAAGTTTAGATAAAACATTTTGTTCGAAAAAAAGAAGAGCAAAACTCACTCTTACTTTTCTCTTTTTCTTTTCAAACAATTAAATCCAAATATCGCAAATTTAATTTTACTATGAACAATTTCGCTGACGATTATGCTGAATTTTCGTCGGTGGAAAATGCAAATGTGAATAATAATATCAGTAATGTCCATTTCACGGTGGATGAGTTGTTGGATTTTTCCCGGGAGGATGAGACGATGACCGACGCGTTTTTTGACAGTTTGGCGGGGAATGCCAGTGATTCGTCGATTGTGGTTGATAGTTGCAATTCGTCGATTTCCGGTGGTGGCGTTGGCCAGTTTAATGGTAACATTAGCTGCGGTAGCGTCACCGACTCTCAATTCTCCGCCGCCGAACTCTACGTTCCGGTAATTTGTTGTTTATATTGGAATCGTTTTTCAATCTTGCGTGCAATTCCTCGAAATGTGCGTCCCACGTTTGTTTGTTTGTTTGTTTTTTTTTTCCATCATCAGTTCATCGCCGACACAAATATGCAATTACAGAATATTGCTTAGGACTTTTCATTTCTAATTTTATCTTTATACTTTTCTGGGTTTTTTTTTTCCCTGAAACAGTATGATGATTTAGAAGAGCTGGAATGGCTATCAAATTTCGTAGAGGAATCATTCTCAAGCGATGACCTTCACAAACTCGACTTCATTACTACCAACACCACTAAAACCACCGCCGTCGCTGCCGTCACTGACAACTCCTCATCTTCTGTCACCACAACCGTTACTTCCACCATTCATTCGCCGCCGCCTCCCATTTTCCCCTCCGATGTCGGCGTCCCTGGCAAAGCCCGCAGCAAACGCTCACGTGCCGCTCCCTGCAACTGGTCCTCCCGCCTTCTCCTCCTTGCCCCTCCCCCTGCTCCTTCCAGTAACAATAATATCAGTATTAGTTCAAACACCAAACCTTTGAAAACGACATCGTTTAAGCGACGGGAACTGACAGAGACTCCGGGACGGAAATGCGTCCATTGCGCATCAGAAACGACCCCACAATGGAGAACCGGCCCAATGGGCCCAAAAACATTATGCAATGCATGTGGAGTCCGTTACAAATCGGGTCGACTCGTACCAGAATACCGACCCGCTTCGAGTCCCACTTTTGTGTCCTCTAGGCATTCGAATTCCCACCGTAAGGTTCTGGAGCTCCGAAGACAAAAGGAACTGATGGGTCAAGTCCATATTTTCAATGCATCCAACGGCTCTCATGATCAGAAAGCTGATGGCTGTGACGATATCATGCAAATGATATAGTATGGCTAGTGTAGGGGAATTAGTATGCACCTGATTATTAATTTATTAATTACCATGTTTCTAATTAATGATTGAGACATCTGAATTTTGAAGCATAAAGCAAATGTTAATGTTTAGTAGTTTGAGAAGATTGGCAGTTCAGTTGTATTAAGTTTGTAACCTTTTTCTTTTTGTTGTTAATTCATTAGACATTTGTTCATTTGGAAAAATGGAAATCCTTCTTATTGGAAGATCACGATACTTTTCGAAAATCGAAATTCTAGATCAATGAAGGAACGATATCACCTTTTTTGTTCAATAAGATCCCAAAACGGATTTATGACTCATTCTATAGTAGAGAATAATCACAGTAAATACTTTGATAACACGGATTCCTATTTATCGCAAAAAAGTAACAATGATGAAATTTTATGATCAATTCTAATCTCCTAATGGTATAAAAATCTAATATTATAGCGTGGCAGGTGAAAATTTAGGTTTTAACTTCTAGAAAGTCTCGCACGTTCAAGTACAAGGGTGAAACGGGTTGTGGGACCCTCCAATTGAGCCCAACCTCAATCTACGGTTGGTTGTTTTGAAGTTTTCTCGTGTCAAATTACTTAGCACATTTTTTATATCTTTAAACTGAGGATATTTAAAAGTGAATTAGAAATGTCTTTTCTCTCATCGTCGTTTAATAAGATAGAAGACCCGTATAGTTGTCCATGGAAGATAAGACTGATTTGTTATATACACACATTATGGATCTCAGCGACTAATATACCTAATTGAGAAGGAATTTGTTAATAATAAAAAATTAAATCACATCATGTGGTGTACTGAGTACACTAGTATGGAAGTGCATTAAAAATGGAGTTGTTGATCATTAAGGTTTCAAAATAAAGTTGAAAATGTTGAAATTAATTAATAAAATAATTAAGGTAAGATTATGCTAAAAGTTTGTCCAATGTTAGCTGTCTACTTGATCTTAGACATTTGATCTACACTGGGGTCCACCATAACTTTATAATTTTGTATATTAAAGATATTCGAATTTGTATAACTCAATATGGACAGAATTTTCCTCAAGAAAAGTAATTTTGTAAAAATGTGGCATATATGATAACATAGATCAAACGCACCAACCAATTTAAGCTAGATTGAACTAGATAGGATTAAAGTACCCATACAAACACTACAATAGAAACATGCCTTGGGTGAGGGAAATTTTTCGCTAAAGCTCAATATTCCATCGAGAAGAGCATCAACGATAGAATGTCTCGATTGCAAATGTATTGTTGATAGTGTTTTCGGTGATACTCAGCGACACAAAGAAAAGTTGAAAATTTAAATCTCCAAAAAAATAAAATCATCGCATAACCCACTCCTACTAGCGACGGAAAATTTTCGTTGCTATTTGTACAGAATTTTTTCCCCTTCCATTTGTTTTTGCTTGAAACATGTTTGAGTACTCCCTTGTCCACTTGGTTCATATATCTGAGGCAACTTGCACAAGGAAGAATATAGATGTACTTGAAAGGACAATATTTGTACATATAAAAATAATTTCATTATGGAATTATATACACACATTTTTTATTTTTTTTTATACCCAGGTTTCCCAACTTACACCAGACTATATCTTGAACCACTCAAAACCGGTGCCTCAACTCTGGGCGGAGGTAAATCGCGGGTTATGCCCAATCAAGTCAGTGTCCATGCAAGTTTTATACTCCTGGCCCCAAGGGAGCCCTCCTGCGCCGGATTTACATCACCAACCTGCTCTACCACATGGTTTGGGTATTACAACATTTGACTGCTCTGTCTGTGATTCAAACTCCCCACACTGGGGTTGCAAGCCCAGCCTTGCACTGTCTTTGCCATCTTGGATGTGCCCCGGGGCACTATATACACACATTATTGTGCATGTATATGTGATGGGTGTGGGTGCGGTGGGGTGGGGTGGGGTGCATGTGGAAGAGGGGGAAGAGCACATGCAGTATGTGACATGCACGACTGTCTTTGCAGGGCTGTTAAGGATAATATATCCAAAACCTAGGCATGGCTAGCGTGTCCATGTCCTGGGATCTTTCCATGTTATTTGCTAATGAGTTTCAATTATTATTTTCCCTATCTTGTCTTTCACATTAATTAAATAAAAAACAATAAAAATTTTCGTCCTACATCTTCTCATTTTTCTCTTAAATCAGAACTATAATAAAATGACATATTTAATTTGATTAAAAAAAAATATTACTCACTATTCTCCAACTATCATAGTCACATCATCAACTTATTTATAACAACTTTACATGTAAGAAGACTTGTATGCAAGGTAATTGTAACTTTGTTGGGCAAGAAACAAAGAAGCCTATGCCTATTCCATAAGTTCCATTATCAATTGCGATCGAGTCTTATTTTCACCTATTTATAACAACTGTACATGTAAGAGGACTAGTATGCAAGGAAATTGTAACTTTGTAGGGCAAGAAACAAAGAAGCCTATGGCCCATTCCATAAGTTCCATTACAATTGCGATCGAGTCTTGCCTTCACCTATTTATAACAACTGTACATGTAAGACGACTTGTATGCAACTTTGCAGGGCAAGAAACAAAGAAGCCTATGGCCCATTCCATAAGTTCCATTATCAATTGCAATCGAATCTCACCTTCACCTATTTATAACAACTGTACATGTAAGACGACTTGAATGCAAGGAAATTGTATTCTTATACATTCCTTTCATATAAGTCGTCTTTTCTAATATCTTAAATTTTGAAATGAGATATCTCAACCCAACAAACGTCACTTTAACCAGAATATTAAAGCACCTAATTATTAACCTCAAGTCCTCAACCAACCAATGAACAGTTGAAGATATTTGCCCCATGAAATCTGTGCTTCATAAAGTCATGAGTTGAAAACTTCACTGAAAAAGTTTCTTGCCAATTTGAAGATGCACGAGATCTAAATGCAAGTAATTTTCCACCTCAATTTCCTCGAAATGCTCCGTGAGTTTCTGGTGGAAAAATAGTGCATTTATATAATTGCAACTGCATACAAGGGGTCTATATTATCTAAAATTTAGTTCTAAAACTGTATATTTTTCATGAGAATTTTTTCTGAACTTCTGTTTCATCCATGGCGAATTTTTGCTGTTCCATTGAAACGGAGCCTCGAACCTTGAACCAAGGGCAGCTCCACCATGCCAGGGTAGTGCTTTTTGTTTTTTTACCTTGCATACTTGAAGTGCATGTTCGTTATGTAATATTAAGTGTCGACATACGAGATTTTAACATTTTCTTTAATCTGGTTTGTGTATGCATTGTAAACATTGTGGGGACTTGAAATTGCCGAATAAAATCTGGTGGGTTTTGTTATTAAAATGGAAAAGAAAAATAAATAAATTAGCCTTTAGTATTAGAATAAGAGTAATGCTATTCATCCCCACTGAGGTTGAAATTCAGTTTATGTGGCAATTATATGACATTAAATGATAGACTCAATTAAATGAGCCATGTGACTTTGTATTTAAATGAATTTATCATTTTATACCATGTAATTGCTACATAGATTGGAGCTCAACCCCAGTAGGGATGAATAACGTTACTCTTAGTATTAAATCGTCACGTCTCATAAAATGATTACTAAACAGCTTGAATCGACGACATTAGTAGTTCCTATAGTTCATTTCATGTCTTGTACTCGAGGTCACGTTTACGCTCCCTCTCAAGTTTACAACATTATGTCTTGTATCCGATGTATGATTTATGTGCCTTTAAAATATACTTCCCACCCAGTGGTGGTTTAAAAAAAAAGAAGGGAAAATCCAAGTGTAGTCTGATTTTTACCCTGTTTTTTAAGTTGCCATAGACTCTAATACTTCATTAAGTAACCACTTCGTTTTTGATTTAATTATACATACATAGTTTTTGTTTTAAATGGGTGTCGACAAGACTTGAACATTGTTAAGACTTGAGATTTTATATTAAATAATTAAACTTGTTAAGAGGAGCAAAAACCTTTTACGTCGGTTTTATATTTATTCAATATGGGAATTATCTTTGAGATATACATTTGATAAACCAATTTTTGGTTCCTTTTTATGATGCAGGAAGTTGCCATAGACATAGTTCAACAGAAGGAAGCTGATGCAGCGTCAAGCATATTCGTCGACGTCTGTTACTTCTCCATTTAACTTTCAGCTTTATAATTCCACGTTTATGCGTATTTAACTTGTACATTTTGGGTCTTTTTTTCTTAAGTTCAAAATATTAATGACTTATTTGATAAGGTATATTCTAGAGCAGTCGATAATATAAATCAAGAACTGTATTGTCTAGTCCAGAACAATACTCTATAGATGTGCACTAACAACAGCAAATTATCTGTTCAGGGCCTGAAACCAGTTGTTGCAATCAAGGAGATGGAAGTGGTGATTTCTGATGCAAATTCATATCACAAGATTGATGTATCCAAGGAAAAGACTCAGATTCTAGAAGCATCTTGCCAATGTTCATCTGCTGCTATTATGGATTCACCAGATCAATCTAGAGTTAAAGAGCCCTTATCATCTCCTTTTTGAGAGTTTTGATCTATTGGAATGTTTGTGATATATGAATTATCATGTTTCTTGTAACTGTAATATGCAATAAATCCACTGCTCTTGTGGAAGATCTCTTATGCGATATACCAAATTTAGTTATGTCACTTCTCTATGTATTCAAGATTTTAGACGATGTAAGGAAATTGTTTAGAAACAACTCAAGACATTGAATCATTAAGGGACAAGGACTTGAGGGGATGTTGTTGTCATCATCCAAGATCAATATTAATTTTGTCTTGGACAAGTGTAAGACTTGATCTTCTGTTCCAAAAAAGGCGAAAGTGTTTGAGACATTCTAACACTCTAAAATTTATGCACTTTTGTGCAATATTGGCCACCGTAATAAGCTTGTCTCTCTTACCCTGCTCTAAAACTTGGTTGTCAAAAATTGTTTCAATATACGTTGGCCCTTTTCTTACACTCACTGCCTATTTCTACTGTCACCGCGGCTGCTGACCCCACTACGAATAACATTAATTGTTCCGCCACACCAGACTACCACCACCACTGCATTGCGGCCATAAACACAACCACCACTGCTACCACCACAATTCACCAGCACGAACTCACTCAAACCACCAGAAAATGGAAAGAAAAAGATCAATCCACCACCACATTCACTCGCACAATTATTACTATTTCCAACGCACCATCACCTCTGAACCACCAGACCACCACCAGATCTATGCCCCATCTCACTGCCACTGTCATCACCACCACAACCACCCCGGCCATCTCCACCACCGCTTTCCCTCACCACCAACCCATCTTTTACAAACCTAACTCAAAAATCACCAGAAACAGGGAAGAAAAAGACCTATTCCATCCACACCACCTTCACACACACCAAAAGCCACGATCCCAGCCTAAGTTCTCGTTTGACCACAAGGTTCAACGCCAAGTGGCTCAGATTCCACACCAATTTGTTAGGAAAACTTAAGGCTTTAAAATATGTGTAATAGTCATATATCATGGCAGTACGATCAACAACCTGCTAGACGCCAGCACTCTTTAGATCTTAATAAATTCTCTTTGAATTTGTTTCAATGATCATAGCGTCATCAAACCAGGGATGTTGACTAAACAAATTAATTTATCAAATGCTAATTCTGCTGCTATTCAAGAGCTCGAAGAGGAAAAAAAAAAGCTCAAAATGTCTATACAAAGAAGAGAATATATGGCGATATTTGATATGGAAAATCAAACTTTGGAGAATGTTATTGAGCTTCTTAAGTACACAATTACGAAAAAAGATAGTGTCTGCAAATGAGGAAATTGTATGAAAAACCACTGGAGGCATCAACTTGTGCGAATCGTTAATGGATAGTCATTTGATGATGGGATGGTGGTGTTATCAGTACTCGTGTAGTCATCTTCAGAGATCAATATTGATTTTGGCTTGCGCAACCATACACCTTGATATTTACTTTTAGCAGTAGTTGGACGCGTTTGAGACATTCGAACACTCTCCAACTCCATGGCTACTTCTTTCATAGTGGGCCTCTTTTTTCCATTCAAATTTAAGCACCGTTGTGCAAGTTTAGCAACTGCAATAAGCTCTTCTCTCCTATCATGATCTACAATTCGAATGTCAAGAATTGCGTCAAGATTGTTACCTTCCATGCATAAAAGAAATCGTGTTGCTAAACTCCTTTCCTCTTCTTTTCTATTAGAAGATACTGGTTTTTGCCCACTCAAGAGTTCGACAAGTATAACTCCAAAACTGTAAACATCACTCTTTTCTGTAAATTGACTTGATTGAAAATACTCAGGATCAAGATATCCAAATGTCCCTTTCACTTGGGTAGTTAAATGAGTTTGATCAACTTCAATTGACCTTGAAATTCCGAAATCTGAAACTTTCGCTATATACTTTTCATCAAGAAGTATGTTGTTTGACTTGATGTCTCTATGATAAATGGGGAGGGAAGCGGCAGAGTGAAGATAAGCAAGTGCTCCAGCAACTTCTACTGCAATTTTTAAGCGCATGCTCCACGAGAATGGGAATTCAATACTCTCATCATGGATATGATTGAAGAGGGTTCCATGAGAAATGAATTCATAAACTAGCAAAGGAACTTCTGTCTCAAGACAACATCCTAGTAGCTTAACTATATTTCTGTGATTGATTTGTGAGAGCAGCACTACTTCATTAATAAATTGCATTACTTGCTTTTCATTTACTAACTTCGATTTCTTAATTGCTACAATTCTTCCATCGGATAACATACCTTTATAAACCGTCCCTTGCCCTCCTTGACCAAGTATTCGGCTTTCATTGAAGTGGTCACTGGCTTTATCCAATTCTTTGGAAGTGAAAAGTCTTAGTTTACCAAGTATATCTTCATCTTTTGATATTTGTTGTTGCAACAAAAGGCCGCCATTTCGTTTAAAGAATTTTACTCTCTGCTCTTTATTCTTTCTCTTCTTTAGAAACATTTTCAACCAAAAGCAAGTTGATAATAGCAATATCAATCCCATTCCAGATCCCAAACCTACTCCTGAAATTACAAAACATGAAAGAGTAAACCAAATTGTTTCCATATTTACAAAGATTTTTAAAAATCATTTTTTTCTCCTACTATCCTGATTTTTCAAAAGTTGTCCACTCACCAAATATTTATGATATGTACGAATTTTGATTTAAAAAATGGTATAATTGGATAGGGCAGTTGTGGACTTTAAAGGCATTCTTGACTTCTTCCCATCTCTATTTACAAAAAATGTGGGTAGAGCAGTTGTGGACTATGGTGGTCAGACTCATCTTACATTCAAACTAAAACAAATTTATTTTTCTCCAAATTAAATTTAGAAAAAGACAAATAAGAAATATATAATTTTACATATAGCATAAGAGAGAAACGTAAATTGAAAAAATTATATTAAAATGGGAGGTTTCTGTAATCTATAAAACAAGATGGGGAGACTTGTAATTTCATGATGTTGATTTTGTTAATTAAAGATTTCACATGGAAAAAAATTAAATGAAAAATACCTATAGCCACTTTATTCTTGGACCCCGGCACTTGAAAACAGCCGCTACCATTTCTCTTGCCATCGCCAGAATAACCATCGTGACATGAACAATTATAAGAACCCGGAGTATTATAGCATATCCCATTTGAGTGGCACGGATAATTGTTGCATTCATCGATATCTGGCCTTCCCAATCAAGCGTTACAACAAAAAATTGTTAAGAATTTTATGCTCGTCCCATGTACAATACACAAAGTTTTAATAAACAAAGTAGTAATGGTACAACTAACCGTGGCATCCAGGAGCGAGATGAGGATTGCCTTCATATCCTTCCCTGCACCTACAACGATATCCTTGAACACCGGTGTCAGAATCAATGCAATAACTATTTTGTTGACACGCATAATCAGCAGAACTCTGTGCTAATTCACTGCAATTTTGGAAACCAGGTACTGTCCAGTCCAACACCAAAGGCATATCCCTCAACGTTGTATAATTATTTAGGAATGTTGTCGAATCATTGAGGTCATATAAACGAAATTTGAAACCCGGACTATCCATCATTCCAATGAACGCAAAGCTGCACTGGAAAATCTTGGTTTGCTGCCAATTACTACTCATGTCGGACAAGTTAACATCGAGAGATATTTGACCTTTGGGTATGGGGACCCGACAGCAGCCGGCACCGGGACACGATCCGGTATGAGCTGATTCTACCGGAATGCAACAGTATGATAGACAACCACCAGCAAAGTTACTTGGATTCGATACACTTGGGTATGATACTCCTTTTACAGTGGCCAAGTCATCACAGCCAATGGATGTGATCTGATTTGCATCTGAAAGTGTATAAGGACTATCTGAAAATTCGATGCTTATTTTAGTTGAATTCTTTGTCTTGTTATCAAGTTCCTCGCCATAGCAGGCCATCGCCAGCTGCAGCTTTGAGTTCTTAACGTAGATTTGAGCTTCTGAGATATTAACAACCTCAAAGGGAGTATCGGCAAGGTAGGGTTTTGGAGGGTCGGAAGAAGTATTGCACCTGATATCAAACCATGGGCTACTTATTGAACAATTTGACCCGATTCCAATGCCAAATGGGTATGGAATTTCTAGCTTTCCACATGTTCTTTGGCAGCTAGGTTTAGTGAAGGCCGATGCTGACGTTGGTTGTACCCTTGGGCAGACCATTGAAAGCAAGAATAACACATTGAGGAAAGCAGAATGCATAATCATGTTTTGCTGTGTATATTCAGATAAAAACTACTCTCGCATTAAAGCAATATAACTACAAAGTGTAAGGTCTAAAAAAACAGCTATAGACTTAGCCCACAGACTTTTCTTTATGGAGAACATTCCTTTTAATTTCGTGGAAAAAGCATTTCCAAGTTGTCTAAAAGTTGACAAAAACATCAATATCATTTTGAATAACTTTCTTTACAACGAAAATTTCCACACTTTTGTTTGAAAAATCCGTCCTTCTATTGTTCCATACAGATGTATATATATATATATATAAAATTTGATAAAAGTCGTGAATCCTATAAAATGTTTGTTGAAAAGTAATCAATTTTTTAGTTGAACCACATGGCTTATGTATTTAGATTAAGTTTTAACACGATGGTTGACATGCATTCATCTTTCGTCTTAAAGGCATGATGCGTGGATGATAGTAATACCTTCATCTAAATACAAGTTGTAAATTCAACAACCCACTCAAATTCAACAACCCACTTAAAATTAGAAGGTAAATTCAATGACCCCATATTTCTTTTACTGAAGTAGTTACTTTACCACACATCGTTAGGCTTCCAGATATCTTATTTCCAGTTAGAGTTGAATTATTCATGTGTATTTTCACAAATCATTTAGTAAAGTACTTATCTCAAATTCCATGCTCAAATTAATTAAGGTGTTTTATCTATATTTTCATTACATCGTGCTGGAACTAGAGCGAAGTCTACGATCTGCAAAGTGATGGCACCAAGGAGACCTCAGGACGTTCAAGATACACTTGATGAGATCACGCTTCGAGAAGAGATGTCACAAATAGATTTGTTGATGCAGGGTATGCATGGATGTGTTATTGGTGGGAATAGATAATAGATAGTAAAGTTTGTTAGCCTATGCGTGAGGGAGATTAAAATCAAATTTTTCGTAGATTTGATAAAAGTTCATGAAATGAGTGATTGAAAAATTGTGGATCATATGAAATATGTGGTTAAAATTAATTATTGACTTTGACTCGTCTATACCAAACAATGGCTTAGACTATTTAGTTATAGTCTTTGTACTTAACTTTTATATTAGTTTTTCGCCCATGCAATGCATTGAATGTGTTATAATGAAAGTAATGTTAACGTCTTGAATGTTAACGATTGACACACAAGTGTATTATAAAATTCCCCCACACATTTGTATAAAATAAATAATATTTATAGCTTGTTTGGTAGGGATTTTTAGATTGGGGGAAGAATTGATTTTGAATAGTGATATGATGGGAAATGTGTGGTTGAAAAAGAAGAAAAAAGTATTGATGTGATGGAAAATATTATTTTATTGAAGAATGTGTGGGTGAAAATGAGAATTGATTTGAGAATCAATTTTCAAATCAAAAACAAATACCAGATGCAATAGTCAATCAAAAATTGAAACAAAGAGGGAAAAGTAAACACCGTATGGAAAAGTCACAAGGAGAAAGTTCATATTTATAGGAGGATTTCTGTTACAATTTGGAATACAAAATGTTAATGGCTTAGTGTCGGAAGATCATTGACAAAGTGTAACATTAAGGAATGAAAGAGTAAGTTATGTTAGAGTTTCTCAAAACAATGACAATACAAATGACATTTTTTTTTTCATTTTTCATTGTTAAATATACCTGTTTGAAAAATGAATCTATGGAATACAAATCTTAGAATCAGACCCCAGTAGTCCAATGATTATGCAAAAGTATTTCCATCAGAATGATATGTTGACACAATCTTAAAATTAAAAAAACGAAGGAAATAATAATTCAAGTGCCTGCATAATCATTAATTCTGGAATAAAACTTTGTCAAGTTTCATTCCTAAAGTTTTACTGGGGACATCGGAACACCACATTGTTGAGAAAACTTCAATTTCAGCAGAGACAATTAGTTTGGAGATAATATATTTTTTCACAATTTATTTATTTGTTTATTGTTGTTATACAAATGATTGCCGCTTCGAAATGAGGATCGACCTGCTCGGTCAGGTCATGGGGGTCGAGGGACAGCGGGGGCTCGGGGACAAAACATAAAAAGCTAATTTCAGGAAAACAAAATCATTTTTATCTTGTATATTTTAAAAGTGTATAATACATTTAAAAATAACATTAACCAAATTTACAAACACTTATTTTTAACACTAATCAAGTAAACAGTGGATTGCTTTTGGGAAAAAAAGTTTCACAAATAAACAGTAAACGGTGTATTGCCCAAGAAGCAATAAAAGATTCAAAGTCAACAATTGTGGGTATGTGTAGAAGGAAGTCCATATTATCCTTAAAACTTGGATAAATAGTATAGCATGAATATGGATAAAATGAGATTAAAAAAAAGCTTCACTAATGAACAGTAAACGGTAGATTGTCTCTTTTACGATAGTAGGGATATTGTTAGAAGGGTAGTGGTGTTATTTTACTAGCTCGGTTAGAGTAGTTTAGACTATTTGCTTATTAGACTATCTAAAGCATGTATTTTTATTTTGTAAAGCCTTTTTTTCATATAGATAAATGAGATTTTTAATAAAAGTTGATGGAATGTGGGTTTGAAAAATTGTGAGTACCATGAAATATGTGCTTAAAATTAATTGTTAATTTTGATTTAGATTTTAATCCAATTTTTTAGTTGAACCAAACATGGGCAACATAAGCTTTATGGTTCCTCAAAACCTTACCATCCTTTTGCACTCTTTGTGTTTCCTCTTTTGCTGAGATTAGTAAGATTCACAATGTTGATCCCCAACAAATGATGATTTGGTGGCCGACGAGTCTGCAAATTCCTATGCCAACGATAACCTTTTTTGCTCCTTACAATCTTCACTAGCAAATAACTATTCTTTCCACATGAAGTGTTGGCAAAATTCGAAGGACACATTCTCCAATCTAACACCATTAGATTATCTATGAACTCTTTATTATTCTTTCGGGGTGCTGTTAAATCATTGCGATTGGAAAATTTAAATACATTTTGGTTGACGATTTAGTTAACGACGTGTGAGGTGGTCAACATTTTTGCCATTGATTTTAACAACACTTAAAACAATCGATGAAACAGATTTTTACACACTATTAAATGTCAACAAAGATGTCAACAATCAATGTACACATAGCATAATTCTAATTTAAAAGTGTAATTACCAAGATTATGTTTCCCCCAATTAGTATGCATGACGACCAGCTGAACTTGGAGAAGGTCAGTTTCGGATATGGAGGTTTGGCTACAACCCACGTTGGGGGCACCGGGCATGTTCCGACCAAATCTCTATGGTGTGGACAGTACAACTGACAATCAATATCGCCGCTGGTATAGGTTAGGTTTGAAAATTGTTGTGCTAAAGCCAAGTCATCACAACCAACTGCTGTTGGCTGATTTGCGTATGACAAGGTATATTAATGAGTGAAACGAAAATCGAGGTTTATTGAATGCTTTCTCGTATTGTAATCAGGCCACATGCCATAGCATGTCCTTGCCAGCTGCGGCTCCGAGTTCTCAACATAAATTCGTTTGAGATATTAACAAGGGAAGATTACATATTCAAGAGTATAAGTTTAGAGCATCTCCAACAGACTCTTTAAACATGAGATGCTCTCTATTTTAAAGAGTCAGCATGTAAAATTATGCTCCAATAGACTCTTTAAATTAAGATTTTAATTTAGAGAGTGGGTTTGGCTCTCCAAATTTGGAGAGCCAAACTCACTCTCTATAATTAAATGCATTCAAAAATTTTCAATTTTCAATGTAGAAAAGCAATAAAATAATCTATAGAAAAACTAGTTAAAATAAAAGATAAAGAAAAATAATAAATATTTTTTGGGAATAGTAAATTTAAGTGTTAAATATAAAGAGTTTGTTGGAGTA